AATAGCTCGTAGATATGAAGGCTTGCGCCTTGTTAAACTGGGAATTTTCCTAGTGGGTAATGAATGAGACTGCAGTGTAATGAAACACAACAATTTCTTTTGATCTGTCACCAGCGTAGTTACTGATAGCTTGGAATATTTGAAGGTTGGGCATTAGACAGTTAATATGTTTCAGAGATAGGATCCTCCACCCATATTTTTAATCTCTGTAGGCATACATCATCAACTGCTAGGATTTAGCTTACCAGATTATGTTGGACATGGGAGACGATTCTTCAAATGTTTCTAGGGAGACGAGTAGGCAGAGCCGCATAGGAAAGGTGGCTATATAGTATGTTGAATTATCTGAGAACATAAGACCTACATATTCAGGCCTCCGTTGGTTCATGGGATAGGAATATCACAGGAATAGGGAAGTCATAGGAAAAGTCAGTGTTGCCACACATATGCATGATTTTGAATTGTTCAGGGAAAATTAACTCCACAGGTTCAGCCAATCATCTTGGAAGTAGATGGCGATATTAGACGTAGGTTGAAGTATTCACCTAGTCATATTAGGAGAAAGCAGGATCATGCATGGATAATTTATTTCTTATCCTCGCCTCACTAACGTTTTGGGCATGCTTGCAGGTTGAGGACATCGTCCGTGCAGCAAAGCGAGCTTGCTACAGATCATCATCCATGGCGGCAAACGCCTAAGCACAAATGCAAGTTTTGTTTCTTGGCCTTCTTCTTTGTTCCTTGTCCAGAAAAAATGTACCGAATCGCATAATTGTATCCCCCAACTCGTGTGAGCTAATTTTGTAGATCTGCATGCATTGTTGATTCCGATCTGTCGGCGGCAGTTGGATGACTGCATTGAGTTCATGGTTCATCCCGAGACATTTGAATCATGCAACTTCTGGAGGTTTACATCACTGAGGGATGTATAAATAACATGTATGTAACTGAATTAAACACGGTCAGGTACCAGTACACGATTTTGCTCTGACTTGGGCTGATCTGTTCGTGTGATCAATATCGCGGAGAGAACTGAAACATTGAAATGTTTCCCGGTGGGTAATGGTGAACTCACACCGTCACATGCGTACAGTACTTGTGCCTGAGAGTGTTACGTGTGGCAGACGCCTAGAAAGTCTAGAAAGGGCTGAGAAGCTGATTCTACAGGGCGAGGCAGTCTCCAAGGTTCTGCCAGCTATAGTATATACGCGGAAAGCAACAGGTGGAAGTGGAACGGGACCCGTGAAGGAGAGCTCGACCACATGTGGAGCAACTTGCCTCATCATGGACAATGATTCTTCTGCTGGAAACTAGCGAATTGTGGCACACGTATGAGATAGCGATCGACCGTTGCTTTGTCTAATCTGTAGATAATATCATTCCCGCTAGCCCATCATTGGTGTGTGGTGCTGTGGATCAGGCACCGCGCGCGCTCTCTCGTCCCTAATCCACATCGCCTTTTGGCCGCTGTTTCCGCTAGTGGACAGTCCTGTGCCACGATTCAAATCTCAAATGACATCTTCTGTCGTGGTCAACATTACTTTGGTCCATTGAGCCTTCTATTGTACAGTGCTGTAAAAGATTCTTACATCATCCAATGAACAGTCCATCGCTCAGGTATCACAAAGTTGCTGCGAGGGAAGGAAAAAAGATGGAAGCGAGAGAAAGATGATGCATAATGGGCAGGGGAGTGTCATTGGGAAGAAATGGACCAGGTTCTCAGTCTGACCGGTCTTAGATTTGATACCAAAGTTGAGCGTACGGATCTTAGCCGCCCAAGGAGTAGGTCCAGTCCACTGTTTTGAATCTAGTCTCCTTTTTCTTCTGTGAAATTACAAATAGGCCCCTGAAAAGATGTGTTTCCGTGTATACGGGTCTTCAGTCGTCCGCCTTAAGACGGAGCTTCGATACAGGCTCCTACCATGTGCATGCGTCCATGACAATAAGATCTGATGTCAGGTGTTTTAGGTGGATTCAGGGGTTTAACAACGGGCGACTGACTTCATGGTGCTGGTCTTTAGGGGTACCTTCATGAAAACTTTTTAACTCTGTCATCGATAAGGCTAGTCTAGGTCCGATATGGGAGCTGCGACAATGGCACGTCGGTGGCTCGTTCTGATTGCAGTAGTGGTCGGATGTAATCTTTATTATGTTTGATTGATGTGCTTTGTATTTTCATTAACTTTTATAATAGATATAAGTATTTTGCAAAAGAAATAAATGTCCTATGGACAGCAACAGAATTTGTTGCACAAGCCGGTACATTAACCACCGCCGCTCAACCGCCCCACAGTCTCAGAAACCGAATCTGTGAGACGTGAGGGGCCTGAATGTTAGAAACAGAAGCCACAAAACAGACGCGAGAACATTTTCTCTATCCACTCCGGAGAAAAAAAAGAGAAGCAACCGAACGAGAACAAAAGCGAAACCAAAACAGCCGAGCTGATTGGAAACATCCAGATGCCGCTGCTGCTAACCCAACCCAAACCCAGCGTTTCCCCTCATCATTTCTAGCGCCTAATCAAGGACCCTTGGTTAGTTGCTCGCGGAATCATATTCATACCTACCATTGGAGCAGCAAGCGAGAGAGGGGAGCGAAGAAGAAGAGCAGCCAGAAGAGAACGCAAGCGAGGAAGGGAGAGAGAGGCGAAGGTTCGCCGGAGGTGGACGTTGGGAGCCCGGCGGAAATCGCCCGGAGCGATTGAGGCGCGGATTCTCCCCGGGCGGCCTGGTTCCCGGCGGTCGGATCGAAGCGGCCCTCAATCTCGGAGGACCTCGATTCGATTCGGCGGCGCGGGCCGTGCAGCTGTTGATTAATCCATTTGGCTCCATGGATGGACAGGCAGGTACCCCTTTATCGCCGGCTTGTATTTCTGCGATTCCCGTTGCTCTGGTGGGCTCTGCCCGTTTAGCGGTGGGGAATTTGGTTCTTCGTTTCGATCGGTGACGGTTCCGCAGTCCGTCCTCTTATTTGGGTCTCTCATTTCCTCGAATTTGGCTGCTGCCATGCTCCTGATTTCGGTAGTTTTGAGGTTTATCCCATGCATGTCTGTTTGTTCGGGGATTAACTGACTATGTCTTCATTTGTGCCTTGTTTGGGCAGTATGGAGTGGAGTAGATAGCATTGTGATGGATGCGCAATCATTGGTTGGGAACTTGCTATTTCTATGCATCAGGCGGAAGATATAGAAGCTGACAAGCTTGCTTCTCCTGAGCTAAATATAGTAACCGTAGCACGTAGTATTGATTCGGCTTCTCTTCATCATGTAGTGGGATTAATTCAACTCCTTCTATTCATGGGTTTAGTCATGTGATTGGTGTAAGAATAGTTAGCGATTGAGCCTGTGCCTGCTCATCAGTTTGCTGAATCAATGTTCTTCGATTCGTTTCTGCAGGGCTGTGACGTGATCTCCTCGCATGGTTCATCCTAGGTCCCTGGTTGCTTGCTCAGGCTCCAAGTTCTGTGTCATCTCCAGTTGCGGTAGCCAGGAGAGCACGATTAGTAGTGGCAAGATGGTAACCTTGCTTCCAATGGATCTGAATCGGAAATGCCGGTGTGGTTCTGCCCTTCCGGTGGTGATAGGTTTCAATTGGTGATTTGTCTAGGCATTGATTTGGACACTGAAATGGCAAGATACTGAGAGGGCCGTTGAAAGGAACTGGATAGGTGTACTGCAGGATCAATTACAAATTGGGGGTCTTCCTTTTCGCTGAGTATCAGAGATTAGTTGCGATGGGTTTACCCCAAGTTTCTTCAGTCAGGGAGGATGTCTCTACAGGATCGAGGACACCTGTGTCAAGCCCCTCGCGTACCAATGGTGTTGGTGCCTGCGATTTGGATGGGCTTCCTCGAGAAAGCTCAAATGGCAAGGCTTCATATCGATCGATTGGCAATTTCAGTAGACAGACTGCATCAGATTCCCCGGATGAATCAAACGGGTATTTTAGAGACAGCCATGCGTTTGATGGACTCACAGACTTCCAAGGATTAAGAATTGATGATTTTAGAGATGCAAATTCTAGATCTTCTCATAAATTGCAGCCCGCTGTCCATATGCCCACAACCCTTGTTGTGGGCTTTGAATCAAACTGTGTTGGAGGTCCTGATACAGCAGAACTGGATACAATCTGTCCATCTGTGGCCAGTCATAATTTTGGTTCACCATGTGATCAGCATGAACTTCAGGCAAGGAAAAGACTGCTGTCTCCGTTGAAAAATGTGCTCTCTAGAAAGTTTCATGGTGATTCACTGAATATTGCTTCTGGTGATGCTAGATTTCAGCATTCTGAGCCAGGTAAGAAACTCTACAGTTCTGGCTTCCAAGATAATAAAATGGTAAACACCGGAAGCCTCAGTTCTTTTGAGTCACAGGCATGTCCGACCCCTAGATGGTCCAGTCGGACTTCAGAATTTGATGTCAATAGGATTAATTCTAATCATTTCACTGATGTCCCTTTACTTGGGAACAAGGACTCGTTATCCTATTATGATCATCTAGCTGCCAGTGCAAAATTAGCACACTCTCCGCTCTCACTGTCTCCTCTCAGCCCTAGACGTATTCATAAAGTCAAAACTACAGGATCTCCAAGGCATGTAATGAAAGATATTGAAAATGATTTCCTAGATTTGAAGGAACAGGGAGGATTTGATGGAATTAGGATGCTAGATGTGGTAGAGGAAACTAACAGATTACATGATGAATATGATATTATGACCCCTAAAAGAAGTTCATGTAGAAGATATCAAAACTGGGGTTCTGAATCTTCACCCACGTCTCCGCGAGTTGGTTATGGACGGAGTTTGAGTCTCCCTGCAAGGAGGTCACTAGTTGTCTCCTTTGAGGAATCCCTTTTGTCTGGCCGACTTTCTTATGGAAAAGATAATCAGGTCTAATATTTCTTTCTGTTCACCATCTAGTATATACTACAGTTCCAGGGTATTGACTGTTGAATTTGATTCCTTAATTCTCTGTGGATGCAGACAATTGATGGTTTCTTAGCTGTCCTGAATATTGTTGGCGGTAGCTTCTCTCCCCCAACTCAGAAACTTCCATTTGCAGTAGCAAGCATCAGCGAGGATAGCTCCTTATTGTACTATTCTTCTATTGATCTTGCTGGTAGATTGTCCACAAGTGCAACCAACAGCAATAGCCCAAAACTCCAAAGAAGCCTTAGTAACAATGATTCAAGATCAGCAAAGAGTCGCTTACGCATCCCTGCTAAGGGGCGCATACAACTGGTACTAAATTGCTTGACCCTTAGCTCATGATCATATTTGTTCTTGTGCATTTTGTTTTGCAAATACTTTGTCTATATTAACCACTCCATCTTTTCTCTATCTAGTTATGCTTTATAGTAATGAAGATATCTCATTTGACAAGCCATTTTGGATTGTCTGCCTTTGCTTCAACAGAAAACACAACTCTGTATACTTTCTAGACCTGTTTCAATGTGCCAAACCAAATATCACTTGTGATGGCTAGGTTTCCTTTTCTCACAGCACCTGGTGTATTTCTATGCATATTTAAGCTACTATTTAAAATTCTATTGAGTTGTTATACGCGTTCCCATCTTGAGTTAAACAATTGCCTCGTCAGGTTGTGAGCAACCCTGAGAAGACCCCACTCCACACATTCTTCTGCAACTACGACTTGACTGACATGCCATCTGGAACCAAGGTACAAAATATTATGACTAGT